TAAGTCTTCGATTTTCGGTATTGGATATCTATCCAACTTTGCAACCTGGTTCACTGTTAGTTAATAGTCCCCGCAGATTCTCACGGAAGACCTGTCTGGCTTGAGGACTGGGACGTCACTTTGAGTCAACGTTGCCTGCAGATCCTTTACATTTTTGGTCGCCGTTTCCATCCTAAGTGCCATTGCCGTTGCCTTTCAAGTATCAGGTTTTTCTCTGCGAGGAGGTTCCGTTGAATGCGGTGGTTTCGGACGCCGCATACCAAGCGATTGCGCAACATGTTGTCTAAGGTGCTTCCATAATTGCAAAACTCTGCCGGTGAGCGCAGAGCCGTTACATATTGGGCTACAGACCCACCCTCTTCTCGGTATCGGCTGTTGAACTTGAATCGCTGGACGATTTCCAATGGTACTGGATTATGGTGCTAGGTCATGCACTGTACCAGGTCATCGTACGATTTATCGCCGGGTTTCGCAGGAGCCACGAGATTCCGAAGTAGTTTGTAGGCCTGAGGCCCGATCACAGTCAGTAGAACTGCTTGTTTCTATCTGCGTTAGTTACATCGTTGGCTACAAAATAATGTTCCAATCTTTCAACGTACTGCAGCCATTCCTCCTTCTCTTCGGTGTCCGACACACTTCCTTTGTGGAGGCCACTTGGATTTTATTAGCACGGGAAACATGAGGTCAAAATAGCCAAAATGTCAACCAATCTATCGGACTGCGCAGTCCACTCGGAATACGCGATGATGAAGCTGGAGGAACTTAATATGGAGATGGGCTGGACTTTTAATAGTCTTGTCTTGTTGAATTTGGGGATTCGTTTGCGCCCTGTTTGCTCTCCCGATCCGCTAGCTGGTCGGCAGTAACATTTTCCCTTGGGTCAGAAGTCCTATAGGATCGATCTGAAATACGAATCATGTATGAATAGTGTAGCCAAAATGCAAATTCCCGCAGAATAAGCCGAATTGTTGCTGAGGCTAGCAATAACACTTGCGTCTCTTGCAGCCGGCAAGCCACAGTCTATAGCGACTGTCGTATAATGACATATAATCGTATAATCGTATGTCGTATAAT